TTTTCAATGTTCAATATTTATCTCAATTAAGGAGCCGATATTATGTTCGAACCTCAAAGTCTGTATGTCTGATGGGACCGTGCCACGCGCAGAACCACACGAAAGGCAACGAGCCGTGGTTGGCCCGACTAGCGGGAGCTCGATACAATCTTGTCCCGCCGCGAAATTTCGCAATAAATACCAGGGAACTTTTCGAGGAGCAATGGGTGCGCTCTAGCCACTGCTCGGCTCTCCTCTATTGTTGTCACGGATAGTGCACGCTGCACACATCGACGTTACCCGGCCCCAGGCTGCGTACACGACAATGGAATACTTAGATCCACCCCTGTTTAGACCACCCTCACGGTATTCCCCATTGTCTCATGATTTATGTGCCGTGGTCGCGGTGTCAACAGGGTATTGATTAAAATACACACACGTACCGGACACCGGCCAGCCTCGAGTACGTACGTACGTACGCCGGATTTATGCACACGAGCTACGATGGACGGGAAACATCGTTGTCCCTCGTTGTAAATCGACCGGTCGATCGTGTCAGCTCCGTGTTAAAAAGGGCGATCGACGTGCCATCGACGAATCGTTTAACACAGGGCTCGGACAGGGAGCGATCCTTCGGGAGTTCCCTCGTTGCTTCACGAAATTCCTCCGATCCGTTTAGCCGGCCTTGCTATTTGGATTTGCTGCTTTCGAATTCCTCGTTTATTATCGAGCGAAAAATTGATCGGGACTTTCGTCAACTCGAGATTAATAATAGAGGTGATATACTAAACTCGTGCCTCGGAAAGTGCTAAAAGTCCTATTTCATTTCAGCGCCTCTCATAAAACTCCCAAATACAATTCGGCCGAACCACCTCGAGAAACATCTCACCCCAGGAACGAACATTTAATCTCACCGGTCTCCGCGCCCCTCGCCCCGGTTTCATCCAGGCTCGCGAGAACCAGCCGACAATATCGAGTCTCGCGACGAGATAAACTCGCCCTTTCGAGGAGGCTGCCACGGGGATATTCGCCGCGACGAAGTGACTCGTTACCTTAAGAGAGTCATTTTCCCTGTCCCTGCCGCTCCTCTATTTTTTTTTTCTCTCTCTCTCCCTTCCATCCAGCCGCCCGTCCCGCGACTTTTCACCCTCTCGAGTCAGCGGGTCGCGTAGCCGGGAGCGCGCGTCAGCGTCCCCTGCCCCGGCCGCGCCGTTCCCGGCGCAACGTTTTATTTATTATCCGGGCTTATCCCAGCGACAGACCGCGCGCGCGGCTAACTTTTCCACCGGTGGTGCTCGGCGAACCGGCTCGCACGGTATTTGGTGCGTGAATCCGCGTATTCATCGCCACGCGCTCCCCCTTTTTTTCCCACCCTCTATCTAACTTTCCTTTCTCCGTACTCTCGAGCCAACCGCCTCCACGCCCCTTACCCCTCCGGGGGATCCGCCGCGCGGCGCTTCCTCGCGTTTTCGCGTGCCTCCGCGCCATGCGACGCCTTTTGACGGTCCACTAATTGCGGCCGCGGATGAAAGACGACGGTGAACACGCGACGATGAATCGTCTATCTCCCCCTTCCGGTCATGGGTACATATCCTCGTTCGAGTATTTTTTTTTTTTTTTTTTTTACTTCACGTGTTCGAAGGGTTACGTTAGTTCATTCGCGAACCGCATTCATCGCGTACAGCCAACCAAAAAAATGTATTCATACTTAAAGCGACAGAGTTCCATGCAGGGTATGCAGTGACTATTAACAGTACATCTTTTTAATACGATTATACAGAGTTTCGATTTGAAGTAACATTTTTATAGACTGTTGCACAGAGTGTTTCAGTATTGAGGATATGAACGTGGAGGGGGTGATTATGAATGAAAAATGAGGTCAAGGGGAAGAAGTAATGTTTTCTCTTTTAGGGATTATTGTCGTGAAAATGGATTGTGAATTTCAGCATAATCTTGATGCAGACTGTATATTGTACGTTTGTAATTAATAATAAAATGTTCTGAAACTTTTCTTGCTTGGACGTTTTTGCAAGAAACCATTTTATTTATTAATTAATTATTGACGCTGGGGGAAATAATTTTATATAAAAGTTGTAAGCACTGACGTGTTCTACAAAAAAGATTCTATGCATTTTCAACAGCAAAATAAAATTAAATGTATTTCTCAATACCTAGATTAAAATAGTTTTGATTTTGAGGCGTGAAAATAGAAATCCAGCATTGAAAAATGCAATAAGGCATAGATTCAGTAGTATTTTTTAGTCTTATCCCGATAGGGGAAATTAATAGAATTAAAAACGGGCCAAGAATCATTATCCCAAACTATAGTGATACTATTTAATGAGAACAGTGGGACTCTGATAAAATTAAGTAGGTCCGGGCGTTGAACTTGTAAATAGGTAGAAGCTCGACTAATTCGTTAAGGCTGGAGACCAGAAATCCCTAATAGGACGGCGAAGTAACGAAGGATAAATCGTGATCATTATACGAGGCAGCGTGAACGAAACTGTTAATATTCCATAGCGGGACTGGGCAGCATAGAGCGAGGGAGGAATAGCGCTGGATGCAGCTAGCGAGTTGAAAGCCTATAACGCATCAGGTATTCCTCAGGCCCTGCTAATGCGTAAATGCGTATTAATAGTGTATCACTGGCAGAGACGAAAGATGAACGCGTTAAATGGGACAATGAAAATAGCCACAGGAATATTTCGTTGTCTTATACGCATATTCCATTTCTTGCAGTTTGTCCATTAAATTAATTCTTCTATTATTATTCATACTCCTATTTTTTCTTGCAGTTTGTCGATTAAATTCATTCTGACTTAAGAATATTTTACAGTTGAAATAACGTCAATTTCGAGGATATTATTTAAGAAGTAATAAAAAGTATGCAAAAGTAAAGATTATACGACATGTAGACAGTTTGCAAATCACGTACAGTTCAACAAAAAATTACCTAAACTGTATTAGAATATTAGAAATTATGCGTTAAAAATTCCTTATGACTGGGAAGAAGAGTTTTATAAACTTTGCTTCTCTGTAATTATCATTTTTTTCTAAAATTTCATTGCTTTAAATATTGGACACAGCTTTTTATTAAATCTGAAACTTTTGGCAGAGATCTGACGGCTCATGAGAGCTTAACTTATTTCCAATATTCTCATGTGTACTCACCGCGGTGGAGGACTTGGTTGAACGCACTGGTTATGATTCGTAGTTCGGAGTTGAGCGACTCGCCGAGCTGAAACAGACGGAACGGGTCACTTTTTAACGTATCGAACACGATGGTTCTCGAATCGCGTTGCCGTCCCTTTCGTCCGTGCCTTAATACGTTTTCCATCGATTTCCCATGAAAAGTCGCGCGGTGGGGGAGGCAGGGCCTCGCTAAGTGCATCGCATAAAGAGGCGAAGGCGAATAGTCGTTTCGAAAGTTCCGCACTGGCCGCCATTAAAGGTAACCGTAAAAGCCAACTAAAACCGGCCGGCAACTCTCTAAAGTAACGATAAATAATAAAAGCTCATCCAGGTATCGCGGTCGGATCAAGAGTTCCGTCGCGTCGTATCCGGCTGATGGAATCCTCCATCCACGGTCGTCGCCGATCGTACGCGGCCACTCTTTTCTTTCCCATCCATCTTCGTTTCGCCTCGCTACGGTTCTGCGCTTAAGCATCTCGTTACCGGAAGTTCCGGAGCCATCGCTACTTTACGAGTGTCATTGTTGGCTACGGGCACCGTTCAGAAATTCATGGCGCTCCACGGGCTATACGTTATTTAAGCACGCGGCCGCGGTGCCTCGCGGAGGAGGTGTTAATACGAGCGAGGGTTTACTTTTACTGGATCGCTGCAGCTCGGATGATTGGCCGCGTGTAAAAAGTATTTTATCCTGATTTGAAAGCTTCGGAATTGGTACTGCTTGTAACAGCTTTTAGAGATTTCGGGATTTAAAAGTGTAAAGCGCTCGGGATTTTATTTATTAACCTAACGTGCAAGCTCGTTCGTTTTAAAAACTACGTCGGTGCATCATATTTATCTGCTTTTAAACTTTCATTGTAACGTCCATATTTCTCCTGTAAAAAAAAAAACATTCACGAAACCGGCTATAGAAGTTCTTTGCGCGGAAGGTGCAACGATATTTGAATGATTTCCATCGTACAATAATTCCGACGCGATCATTAAAACCAGTCCTCGTAATTCCCATCGCCGGGGACAAACGGGTTGAAACCTGGGCCGATAAATCCATCCGTGAAGCAACGAGTGTCTCGCGAAAAGGTAAGTAAGTATGTACACACGAAAGGGAACAGGCGCGAGCGAAAATATCCGGGAGCTCATTTAGCCCCTACGGATTGTTCGAGCGTCGTCGACGGGGCGCACGCTGGCACCGACTCATTTGGATCTCATCCCTCTGCAGACACCCCCGGGGTATAATCCGTTTGAATTACACCCGTCAACAACGCCTACTCTTCCCTCGCCTCTC